AAAGAAAATGATGAATTATTAAAAGAAGTGGATGAATTAGAAATCCTTAAAACAATCTTTAATCTATAAAAATATTGTGATACATGTTATTAATTATTATTTTTGCAAATAAATAAATATAGTTATACAATTTTATTTTTTAAAAAAATTTTTAATTACCAAAAAAATATTGTATTCTAGTAATTAATATTAATAATGCAATCATTATTAATATTAAACAATTATAATTGTATGATGTAATATAATTTTATAGTCCTAACAAAACTACAATATGTAAGAAATTATCAGGATAACAAAGATTTTGAGAAGCCCATACTATCGGAATATCTAATTGTGGGATTATACCATGAATAACAGGTGCAGCAAAAGAACTCTCATTTGATAAAGGTTGTGATGATGGAAAAAAGTCCGGAAGGATATGGTGTAATACATTTCCAAGCGTAAGTTGATGACCTATATATTTATGTATGTATGTGTGAATTGAAGTTATTTTTGATTAATGACATGGAGATAATAATATGTGAATTGAGTAAAAAAAAAATTTTATTATTATCAAATATACCATCTTCGTTTAAAGGAGATATTGCTTCTTGTATTACTGGACAATTATCAGGTAAATATATTCGAAGTGGAATATGTCTTGGAACTTGGCCATCATTAATCACTAAACGATAATTCACGCTCCAAAATTTATCATAATCCTCTTTTTACATTAATAAAAGGTGGAAAATCAGGAGTATGGTGGTGGTGTCATAGTAGTTAAAGATAATAATTTCATATAATATTTCTGTATTGTATAAAAATAAAATAAAAAGGATACTAGACCATAATCCATCCCAAAGCTGTGTTTGGTCATTTTTTGATAAGTTCATTACTTTTTTTGTTGTGCCATTTCTAAGAAAATCTGCCTGGAAACAACAACAACATTATTATTTAATATTATTTTCGAATTATCGATTAATAATTAACAATTAATAATTGATTTATTTAAATTTTAAAAACCCCTACTTCTTTAATCATAGACATGAAAAAATCTTGAGTAGCGTCAATAGCCTGAGCTCTTATTAATTTATCTGCAGGAAAGTCTTTAAAATGAACAGTTACAGACCAAGGTAATGGCGGAGGACTATTTGAATCTGGTCTATATCCTGTATGTAAATCGAATAGTAGTCCAATTGGATAATGCCTTTTTATTAATTATCATCATCATCATTATTATTAATTATCAATTATGGTGATGTTGATGATGATGATGATGATGACGAGAGAAGTAAATAGTGGCAATATATATATACACACATACACACACTTACCATTTCAAAGGTGTTCCATCAACATCATACCATATTTCTGCATCATCAACAATAAAATTCATCGCCATATCACGAAAGTATTTTCTTATTACACTTGTTAATAGTGGGAAATACGAACAACGAGGTGCTTCTATCTATCACAATTAAATGATGAGAATGAATGATGAGAATGAAAATGAAAGATTGCTAAACCCGAAAGTTTGAAAAACTTACAAAATAAGGTTCAATCGTTTCTACGCCTAATGCTTCAGCCTCGTCAGTATCTAAAGAAAATTTAATTGGCAAGGCACCATCCCAAATGGCTCTAGCGATTGGATTTTGAGGTGCTGTCATTTTTCTTATTTTTTTAGAAGACAACAGATAAAAAAGAAGTTACACGGGTAAAAATTTTCGAAAAAATTACCTAAATATAATAATAATCATCATAATTACAATAATAATAAAAATAAAAATATACAATCAATAATAACAATTATTATTGTTTAAAAGAACTTTATAATATCAAGTAGAAATTCATCAAATTTCTGTATTATATGAAGATGAAAAAAATAATAAAAGGGAAGGTGTAAAAATAGGGGTGGTAGATGTAGAAGGAATGATGAGAAAGTTGAAATTGAACATATTGATAAATCATTATATCCAGGATTTTTCCCAGAAAAAAATGAATTAAATGAATTAATCGATGAAGATGAAAATAATGATGATGCAAAAGAAGCCGGAGATTTTACATGGTTTGTTGATCCTAAATATGAGAATCCTCAAGGAATGTTGTAAATTTATACCCATGTGGCATCCAGATTTGTTTCAGATCCGTCATCAACAATATCAAAATGAAGGGGAAGGAGAATATTTAAAAGATGAAGATGCAGAAAATATTACAATTAAGTTATTGATGTTAACAAGAAATCCGATTTTTCAGATTTGATGGTGAAGGAAAGAATTCAAGGCATTTGGTGTCACAGTTGATGTAATTACAATTTCTACTTGAAAAAGAAAGAGAAGAAACAAATTTAGATCTGTCCAATTCATTGTCACTAACAAGTTGCAAATAGTTGAAGGAAGAGATTCGCAAATATAATATTTAATTATTTTATTCAATAAATAGAAAAACTGGTTGAGCTTACATGAAGGTTAAATAAAATAGAAGCAAGCTGTCAAAGCCTTTGATAATATAAAGAAAATGTATTTGATTTGAATTCAGAACTTAATGAAATGGTAAATATATATTATATATAATTTTTTCATTACTTTAAAAATAATGACTCAATACAACAACACAAACACATATTTTCATTATCCCGATTACACAAATTTCAACAGCGGAACTTAGTATTAATATTAGAACATTCCCAAAATTCTAGCTTGTTAATAGAATTAGGTTTATTTGAAATCTCAACAATTCCCTAAATTAGAATCTCAAATTTGCTTAAAATTGATTTAATTCAAAATGAAAGGTTAATTTGATCAAAGAAACTAAAGAGAAATATGATAAAGCAATGAAAAACCATCTGAAGATTGAATATCTCAACCTTTTGCTGATATATATAATTCGGCGTTCTGATGTCTGTGGTATCAATGGGACAATAACATTTTAGCAGTTTGGCACACAATAATAAAGATATATGAAGGAGTAAGACCTGGATTTTTGATTACGACCCCAAATTTTTATTTCAATAATTACAGCATCTATGGATCCAAATGCAGTTTATAAAAGTAGATTATTGAAATTTACAAATCCTCCATAACCTGTAAATGATAATAGTAATGGTAATTGTTAGCTTAATACTTATATTATTAATTATTTTCGCTTTTAAAGTATAATATTGACCTTAGCTCTCATCAAATAAATTTAGACACATAAGTTAATAAAAAGCACACAACTTAAAGTAACAGATTATAGATATTAATTATCTCCAATGGATTCCTTACGATGATTAAAAGCTACTGCAAAGATAAGGAAAATGGTTTCCCCACCATATACAAAGCTAACTAAAAATATTGATGGAAGATTTATGAAGATAGCATTAAAAAAATTACACTATTCTCAAAATATTTCTGATGAATTTTTGAATGAAGTTATTATTGTTCCAATCACTGGAGAATATATATTTGTGAAATGAAATATACAGTAAGTGGACAAAAAAGCAGTAATCAATTTAGAATATAGCCACTCAGATGCCTGCCTATTATCAAGATGGGTTGTCTGTATCTGGAATTATGTTATGGGAATCAATTGGATTGAACTGCAGGGAAAGAGTTTTTAGAAGAACCAATTATAATTTACAAATCCGATTCTTTTTCTTGTATTCCTATTTTCCAAAAAAAAAAACAATGCACAACAGAAAAGTGATTAGCTCTTGGGGAATTTCATAATGCATTTATATCACCAAAATCACAGATTATAATATTATATGTTAAGTTCTTAAAAAATATAAAGACAATTTGTGCACTTTGAGGAATGTATAATTGGTTCCAGAAACCATTGCTAAAGTAATTTTGATCTATTTTGATTATCAATTTATAGTCCCTTACAACAAAGTTATAAATCAAAAATTGAACGTGAGAGATTCAGTTATTATTTCTTATGCAGATGGTAAAATTTATCAAGCAACAACTATTAAACGATATATGAGAAGCCTTGGACATGAGATTGGCCTATGTACGGAGTATAATGATCAGATCAAAACAATGTTACAAAGATTCACAATTTCATCCTTGAGAACTAATGCATAATCATGAAATTAACTCTTTTGAAGAAAAGGTTGAATATATATTTAATTAGGTATTTCATCTGGTACAATTAATTTGACCTGGAAAGAATATTTATATTAACGATTATAACATTAAGTTTTTTAAATTATTTAAATATTTCATAAATAATGTTAATAATTACCATTATAATTGCCTTAATAGTTACTTTATTAGAATTTGCAGGTTGAGGAATATTTGTAAATTTTAATAATCTGCTAGTATAAATGGCATTTGGATGAATTGTTGTAGTAATTATTGAAGTAACAAAATATATTTTGTCCGTTTCATCAAATATTTTTCTAATTCATCAATTTGTTGTTTTAAATATTTTATAATATTTATTATCAAGAGACCATTTGATAATTTGTCACTAAATGAGCTAGACCAAAATTCAATAATATTGTGAACTTCTTTAACATCCATACATATATCTGTATGCTAATTCAATGTGAAGCTTAGGGAGTATTGTTTGAGAATCAGGTCTTGCACTTTCATTGCAAGACCTAAATTACCACTCTGGTAGTACATGATGATTTTTGACTAACTGGGATTTATAATCCTAATCTGCAACATTTACTGATATATAATTTATATTGATCTTTTGAGCCTCTCAAGCACATTTATACTAGATCATTAAATTATTGCTGAATTAGGCTGTATTCGCAGTAGTGTTGGTCGCCAAAACTATTTTGAAGAGGTGAAAGTCAAAACTAAAATTAAAAGTTATATGTCAAAACTAAATCAAAAGTCAATAGTCAAACATCAAAACTAGTTTCGACTTATGGCGAAACCTTTTGACTTTCGCACTGTTGCGAAACTCTCGAGTTTTGGAAACCAACACTAATTCGCAGCAGATACAGCATCAACAAGAGCCAATATGCAAGCATCAGTAGTAACTAATTCACAACAGCAACTCTGATATCGTATGATTTACTATCGGAACTTTCGCTGTTTCAGTAAATGTGATTCTAGTTGGCATATCACAAAAACTTTCAGAACATATTTTCGTAGTAAAAATACAATCACAAGTTCGGAAGCTATAAAGACATTCCGTTGGTGTTCCGAAAACAGTAAAACTATCGGTTCATCTAGGAACGATAGCATCAGATAAAAATACTGCAGTGAGTGGGATTGGTGCTCCTTTAAAGAAAGGATGTGGTCTAGAGCTATTGTGCTTTTATGAAGTTAATTGATTTCTTTGCGGAAATAAGGTTTTCTTTGTAAATCTAATTATCAATAACTTTGCTTCAAAGTAAATTGAAATCATAAGAAAAAAAAATCGCCCGACTTCCTTAAAAATAAAGAATCGCCCGACTTCCTTAAAAATAAAGAATTTCATGCAAAATTAAATTCAATCTTCTGCATTTACTATTACTATTACTATTACTATGGAATTTCGGTTTCATACAAAAAAAACATTTAACATTCTGCCTGAACTACCTACTCTCTACCATTGAAAAAAGTTCATATATGGAAATAATACGAACATTAGTATTAGCATTAGTATATTTATTATATAATTACATATACGAGAAAATGGTTTTTTGTTGTTTTTGTTTTTAGTTAAATAAATTGACAAACCTAGACATCTAAATAGATATTAACTTAGATGTTAATACCATTTGATCTTTTATTGATTGATAAAAGTAGAAATTCTTTTAACTTTAATTTTTAAAGTATACTAACCAACTTGTTAATTTTATGCTATCTTCATTTAACTTTATTTAGTACTAGGGGGTAAGTAAATATATGGGCAGAGTTGACAATCTGGTCATTTCGGTCTAGGGACGAAGTTTACCTTTATGAACAAATCGAGCCACATAATGTGCACTTTCGGTCTAGAATCAATTCAAGGTCACGGTCCCTTTTCTAGACCGAGAAAAACTTGGCATGTTATTTAAAGACAGATCGTTAACATTCCCACCCAAGTTTGTAACATAAATGTTCGAGTTGTTTTTGCCCATGAAACAAATTTTTACTTGAACTGTTAGAATTCAAAGATTTGTTTGACATTCATTTTTTAAAATGTTACATATGACAAATTTTTTTGTGTAAAAAAGGCGATTCCAACAAATTGTTTATTATAAGAGGCAAGGCGCGTTTTTGATGTTCTAATATTTTAATTTGACGTTGATGTAAATGTTCTATTAGGGGGTTCAAACAAAATCTTTTGCCCAGGTTTGAAGCACGCGTATTGATATTAAGTTATTCCATACCCGTAGAGCAATTTTGAAAGTCACGTCTACTTGAACATTTTATGGTCGAGGTTTTACGAAATATTTTTTTCAAGCGATTTTTCAGAAGCCTAACAAGTTCTTTTTACAAATAGATTAAGAATTATCAAACTACTGTTTGTGTCGATTCGGTTATAAGTAATTAGTAGTATATGCGATATGTATCCATACGCGATTCAATTCAGAGCCTTACGCGCTTTAAATCATTTATTTATTTCAAATGTAGATTTGATTTTCATTATCATCGTCAATTTCGCTATCATACTGCTATCATAAACATTATTATTAATATACACTCAACAATCCAATAAATGTGAAAACTTTGCAAATTCATACGACTTATCATGAAAATTATGTAATAATGTATCTTATACTTGAATTAAATAATTTTATTATAAAGCTTGCTACATTTTTGTGCATTAGTTGTCTACGTGCAATAGTAAAAACAAGAATAAGAATAATCGCATTCCGAAAATTGTACCAGCATTGAAGCTCAAAATTGGACCTAATATTTAGAGTTTGGTAGTAATGGATAATATTGACATTAAAGATGATACCTTCGCTTATGGTAACCTCTTTGACATTACAAGAAATGCATCACATTTAACATTAAGAATGGTATTTTGAAAATAAAAAATGTATTAAAAATTACACGTGAATTAATCGAATTGATTCAAAAACACGTATATATTAATATTGAATAATATGCATATCAAGCGAATGGCATGTATTTGGTGTTCGGTTTGATCTGTGATAACGTAAACTAAATAAAAAATCCCGGAAAACTTGAGCGGCATCCTTGGACAAAGGAATACTGATAAAGCGGTATCTAGAGCATTAGCATCCATATTCTATCAATATGAACCTTTTGGAATAGCCGGGACTCTTGGTATAAAATTCTTGGATAAATCTGAAAGGCTTGCATATTATAAAATAACTTTTCGGGTGCTTAACAACAATTGGGATCGAAATCTATCTGTATATCATCATCCGGAAAATATAAAAAAATTTTACACGTGTCAATTGTAAGTTTAATAATAAAAAAGTGTAAAACTTACGTCGGCACTGTAAGATTTACACAATATTACGTCGGCATCGTAAGATTTATGCAAGTTTACGCTAAATTAATTTCCTGATGTGTTTTGTTTTATTAGCTATCTTCAATAATATATCTTTTATGTTGTTGTACACTAACACATGAAATCAAAAGTTGGTTGCTATTTTACAAATTGTTTATTTCGTAAAAATAGTAATGTATAAAAAATGGTTAACAATGATAATTAACAAGAGAATGAATGTTTTTGTAAAGTAATTATTATAAACATTTAATATAATTGTTATATTATTTTTAAACTAAGCAATACTTTTTACATATATTTATAAAATAAAAATCAAGCAAAATGCATAATATTAATGTTAATGTATTTAAAATTAATATATAAAAAAAATTTAGTAAATTAGTATATAAAATATAAACACTCTAATTAATTCTATGGTATTAAAAGCTTTTTTTTTTTTTTTCACATTTCAACCTTTACATAAAGTACATAACCTGGTAAAAAGATTAATAAAAAATTATTTAGATTCCCAATTTCCAAACCATAAATAAAAAAACAAAATATATATAACTAATTACCTTTTGTAATTCAGGTTTTACGACACTAAATGTAGACGCACTCCCAGCGCTCTCGGAAGACTCTGTGTCGCTCCAATGTTCCCGTGAATGAAAACGCGCCCTATTGCATACCAAATGCGCGTAATATACAGGAGGAACCTAATCATAACAACAACAATAATATCATCGTTATCATTGTTTTAACACGTTTATTTAAAGATATATTAATAAGTGATGACATTAATCATCATACCAGGGAAACAGATCTCGTACACCTTGCGTACAAGTAGCATAAATTGTACGATAAAGTTTGTATTCTATAAATGTACAAATTCATATTCATATAATCAAAAAGTTATTTTTATTATTAATTATCTATTAAAAATTTGATGATATTATTACAACTTACTGGTCCGCACGAAGGTTATTCTCATTGTATAAAACGTGATAATGTGTTGGTCGCGAGGTTCCCTGTAAACCCGCCTGGCTTTGTAAATCTATATAGCATAATATATTAGTATATTCGAAAAACATGTTGTAGTTACAAAATATATTGTAGATGCCAAATTACAACTTACAAAAATCAAATTCGATAGGGTGCGTGATTCCACGTTCAATGACAGTACCAGGCAAACAATTGCCGGTATTATCTGCGTCTCGCCTATCCATAGAAAAAAATCTTGCATGGTGCCTTTTCTGCACCACGATAAATGTTATCTTTGGAGCATAATCAGCTTGAAGCGCTTGACACGCAACTAATATTAAAAATAATAATTATTATTAATAAATACATTTACGAAGATACGTTTATATATTTTACATTTATATAATTTACCTCTGACTGAATTTATTTCTTCGTCCAACACTTTCTTGAACTGTTCATAAGAAATACCGTCGCGATAAAATAAAATTCTATCCGGTTTTCTTCCACAAGTTTGGTAAAAGGTTTTTAGGAGCTCTTTTACCATATTTGACAAGTCCGCTATAATATCGGTTCTACCGCTTTGTATTCGTATGGATGCAGCATATCGTGATGCCTTGGCATCCATAGATGCACACAGTGCAGCTATCGACGGTTTATTTGTGGATCCTAATTAAACGATAATTATTAGATGAAAATGATGATGATGATAATGTTGATGATATAATTAATGATGGTGGTAATAATAACCACTATTATAATAATATTAATTTTCATTAATATAGTAATGATTATTACCTGGTCCTGGATGAGTAACATCGGCACCCATCAAAATTGTAGGCACATCAGTTATAAATGGAATTTCTTCTGGTAGCAGAAAAGAATTCATCCCGCCAAGCTTAACGTTTATTTTTAAACAAACGTTCGCACAATATTGTTTTTTTGCAGACATTATATTACGTCCTTGGACGCATTGCGTCACTACGCCAATTACAGTATCAGATACCCGTTTTATTTGAGCGTATAGGTCAACACCCGTGTTGGGTAGTATACATAATATCAACTGTGGCTGTGCTTTTGCATGATTACCAGCAAGAAGCCAGGCTTGCTTTAGGGTTCCTTCATTATCCCCTAGAGGATTTGCATGTATTACGGGTGGATTTACATTGGGAACTTTCTAAAAAAATCAAAAAATAAATATAAATAAATAATAAATAAACAAATTAAAATGAATTACTTTTATTAATAAAATAATTCATGTTTACCATCCCAGTATTTTGACATGTTGTGACTAACTCCCTTATAAAGTGTTTTACTGATGGTAGCGGATAATCCCTTTCTGATGAAAAAACAACTACAGACCAGGAGCCTAAAGTTGTTCCAGTTGCTACCTTTTTATCCCTTAAATTCCAAACACCATTAATTGGTCGGAATTTAGCCTCACGTGAAGAAGGATGGTATTGTATCGTAGGAGTTGGCAATACTCTGGCTGGAACCTTTAATAGTATAATACGAGTAATAAATAAGCGAGAATAATAGTAATGATTTTTCAGAATAAAAATAAAAATACATACTATCTCCATTTCCCCGCTCACCCTAAGTCCAAACTGCCTCAGGTATTGATTGTCACGGTAATTTAGTATATTAAACCCTTCCAGAATTTTATTTGCTCGAGCATGCGGCTGAACGCATGTAAATTTTATCATATCGGCTGTTTGTTTATCGTTTAATTTTCTTGTGTACCTTTGGTCCTTTTTAAAAAAAAATTTTTTTAAATCAATATCAATAATAATAATTTATTCTTTTAATAATTTGTTTAATTATTTTAATTATTTACCTCCACAATCTCACAGACTTCCATTGGGAGGAATGTGTTATTACTGTTCACCACTACACATGGCAAAAACGGAAAATTCAACCGACGATGATACGTAGTGGCAAAATACTCTGCAACACTCCTTTCTTGTTGTCCTTCGGACTGAAAGTACGTTCTATCGGCTGGAGTGGGTGTAATCCCTCTTATTCTATATTTTCTTTTTTTTTGCGTCTCGCCGCGATGAACGACGCGTATTTTTAATCCTTTAATTGCTCTTTCGAGCCTTTGATGATCGTAATCAGTCATCCCTCCTCTAAGATCTTCAGGACCTCTACGTCCTAAGATCTTAGCAATCGACATTATTAAGGAGCACGATTCATAAAAAGCGGTTGCAGTTATGTCGATATTGATATATAGTTGTTCTATTATAATTGTTTTTTTGGAGTATGGAAAGAATATGTCAATTTATTAGCAGTAATTTAACAAAATAAATTATGTAAGATTTGATTAGAATAATATACTTTGTCCGCATTTCGCTGATTGATAATACCCTCTTCGGGCTTCCAACCCTCCAAACAAATGGCCAGTATCATTTGTTGTATAAAATGATCTTCTGACTGTTACATAATTCATTGATGGCTCTTGTCGAATGAGAATATCAATGGCCATCAACGCTAATCAATATAATTATAAAGAACAAATATGGATTTAGTATTATATTGATGATACTGATGATGATAATAACAAATCATTTTACCTTTTAATACGTTATTTATGAAAGCACGCTTTCCTTCGGCATGCCGCATCAAATCTCGGTAATCTATCATACCGACCTTTCTTATTTTAATTGTAAATTTCCTAGGAATACGTCTAGGATTAACAATTCCGTCGTCTTCTGGAAGTATTATCTAAATTGATTCATACGTGTGTGAGTATAGATGAATGAAATTTATAAATTGTAAAATTGATCAATTTAAAATTTTAATTTCTAATTCTGATTCTAATTTATTATTACCTCGTATGTTCCAGCATCACCTTCTGTTAAAAGCATGGGCCTCGACGTAAAAATATTTTTACGACCTTGAAAAATTATATTATCAATATTAATTATAAGAAAATTTTCAAGCATCAATATATTTTTTAATCAAAAAAGATAAAATCACGTTTAATTTAATAATTGATTTTTTCTTTATGATATCAAAACATTACCATCAAAAATAAGCCGCATTCCACCTAATACATCATTTCTGTGTTGTGCTTCGAAGGTTCCAACAACTTTTCGGTTGATTGGAGGTGGCACATCGGGAGTTATTGTAACATCATAATGGGTAAAGTTTGCCTCAGGCAAGTCAAGAATCCTAAAAAAGTTTGTTCGGACTTGTATACTTCTTCCTATCTCACCGTAGTCCGGTCTTTCTACGAAAGATGTGAGTTGAGGCTCTTCGTACATTTCTGCCATATTTTTTTTTTTGATTTTTTTTTCAAAAATTGTTAATTATTTATTATTTTTTTTTTTCAATTTTTTTTTTTTTAATAAAAAAGTTTTTTTTGTGATTATATAATAAAATCAGCAGCATATATTTATATATAGGTGAAAATTTGTTATTTATTTATTTTTATAATTACAAACAAATTTATGTATATATGCTTAACTTTATTGCTTTCTTGGGAAACAATTACAAGAAAAATAAATAAATGATTTTTTTTTTATTTTATAATTTACAAATTAATTAATTAAATTAATTAATAAAAAAGCAAGTAACACACCATAAACCAAGTTTTTAAAAAATTTTGGATGATCATTTATAAATTGTTAATACAATCATCTGAATTTGAAAATCTTTCTTTTTTAGTTTTTGTCACTTTGTCACTCACTTTATCGCCCACTTTGTCACATGGTCCACCAAAAATTTTTAGATTTTTTCATTCATCCCATTAAAATAATTTTTTTATAAATTTGTCAACAAAAACAAAATGAAACTACTACGTAACCTTTATCATGTTACTATCAATAATAAGGACAATGTTATTATTACCAAAAGAATAAGCAAAAACCTGTTATCATCAACTTTAACAACTTCAGCAACAACTTCGACAACAACTTCCAATGTGACCAAGCCTTTTCGCTTGGCAATAATTGGAAGTGGCCCAGCCGGTTTTTATACAGCTTATCGTTTACTAAAAGAAAAATATCATCATCAACCATTGATGATGATAGACATGTATGAAGCTCTCCCTATGCCTTTTGGTCTGGTTAGATATGGTGTTGCTCCTGATCACCAAGATGTCAAGGTACACATTTACTTATCAATCAATCCTAAAAACTTGATTATTATTACTTTTTTTGTTCACAATAAAACAAATATAAACAATACAATTAAACCTTGTCACAGCGGATGAACGAGACACATGAGTTTAAAATCCGTTATGGCAAAATTGCTAATCTAGTTTTTATATGTGAAGCAAAACTTCCATTATAACAAGAAGTTTAATTATAGTTCGCTGTGGCGAGGTCTGCTGTGACAATGTTTGACTGTATATAATATATAAATCCATTTTTAAGTAACACCTATAATTCATAGAATGTTCAACACAGATTTGACGAAGTTGCAAATGATTCAAGATATCAATTCATAGGAAATGTAAAATTCGGTCATGATCTCACGATCGACGATCTAAAACAAACCTATGACGCAATCGTTTTTTCGTACGGGGCCGGCAAGGAAAAATCACTTGGAATAAAAAATGATAATGATAATGATAATGACAATAGTAACCCGATAAAAAATGTATTTTCGGCTAGAGCTTTTGTTGGTTGGTATAATGGCTTGCCACAATATCGTCATCTGAATCCTGATTTGTCAAGATCGGATACTGTGTTGGTTATTGGTCATGGTAATGTAGCGTTAGATGTCGCGAGGATCTTATTGATGGATATTGATAAATTGAGTAAGACTGATATTACAGAGTATGCTTTGGAAGCTTTGAAAAAAAGCGAAATTAAACATGTGGTTCTTGTTGGTCGTAGAGGCCCTTTACAAGTAAATTAATTATTGAAAATTTGGCTGCCAATTTTTTTTTGCTTATAAGTAATAATTATTATAATAATAATGTTGTTATTATTTATTAGATGTCATTTACAGCAAAAGAACTACGCGAAATGATAAATTTGCCCAATACACGTTTTCACATAGATGTTGAATTACTTAGATCAGAAATAAAAGAAAACGAGCAATTAATCGCTAAAGATCGTACGCTCAAGAGAATATTACAAATTTTAGAGAAAGGAGTAACGATGGATACATCCGGTGAAAAATCCTGGACGCTTAAATACCTGAGAAGTCCGTTAGAATTAATATTCACTAACAATAATGTCAATACTGGTGCTGAAGCAAGTAATAGTAATTATGATATTAGGTATATTAAAGCTGTAAAGTTTAGCGTTAATCGACTTGAGGGTCCAGCTGAGAAACGCGTGGCAATTTCAACTAAAGAATCAGATGTTTTAGAGTGTGGTTTGTTATTGAAAAGTGTCGGCTATAAAAGTGTGCCAGTGCATGGTTTACCTTTTGATGAGAAAAAAGGAATTGTTCCTAATGACAAAGGAAAAATAATAGAGTTGGAAAGCAATAATGAGGTAGTTTAATATTAATAAATGGTTTCTTTTATAAAGAAGAAATAATGTTAAAACTACAAATTATAGTTACCAGGTCTCTATGTATCAGGATGGCTAAAACGAGGTCCACAAGGAGTTATAGCTACAACAATGTATGATGCATTTGAAACAGCTGAAACAATAATATCTGATATACAACAGAATAAACCAATGTTATCAGGATCATTATCTCATCTAGATGATAATTCTTCATCATCACCTAAACCTGGCATAAATGCCATATTGCCCATTCTTAAAGAACGCGGCGTACGTGTTGTTTCCTATAATGATTGGAAAAAAATTGAAGAGAAGGAAATCGAAGAGGGAAGAAAAAAAGATAAACCACGAGAGAAATGTGGAATTGAAGAAGCGTTTGGTGTATTGGATAAAAATAAATAAAAAAATTTTATTTAATTAATTAATGGAAAATAAACAAAATAAATTTTGAGTTTTATTTCTTGGTTTTATATATATATCAATATCAAACGTAGCCATTTATTTCAAAAATCAATCTAACCTTGCAAGAGATTAATGCAATTTCAACCACGTGATCTTGCATATATATTTATTTATATGTCAAAAAATTCTGTATTTTTTAAAAATTTTTAAATCAGATATCTTTATGGAATAGAATAGCAATGCATGTTGAAAATTATTCCACCACAAAAACACTTTTTCCATCGCAAACTAGAGTAAATTTTAAATCTTTTGAACTTCCAATTTATAATAACAACGACAATAATAATATCATGAACAATAATTCAAACATTCATCATTTAAGAGGAGAATCAGGAGGACTTTTTATAACGCTGTTTAATAATTATATTAGAGCATTATTAGATAATAGTGATTCACGACAAATATTTTATTTTCTATTACTAAATTTAAGTTATATGTTTGTTCAAATGGTTTATGGATTTTGGACAAATAGTTTGGGTTTGATTTCGGATGGTAAGGATGTGGTATGTTTAAAAAAAGATATTGGAAAAAATAATTGATTAATTGATATTTTTTACGAATGAATTTTATTTATCTTTATTTACATATATTTTTATTTTTTTAAAAAATTTTAGCTATTCACATGTTCTTTGATTGTTTGGCTTTAGCGGTAGGATTACTAGCGGCTATAATGAGCAAATGGCCTGAAAATAATAAATTTACATACGGGTAAAATCATTAAAATAATTGATTTTATATTGAAAAAAAATAATAATTAAATTTTAATTCTTTCGTTTTTTTCTTATATAAATAAATATAAGTTATGGACGTATAGAAACACTTTCAGGATTTGCAAATGGGATCTTTCTTGTTTTCATATCCATATTTATAATGTTTGAGGCAATAGGTAGATTAATAAATCCACCAGAGATGAATACGGATAGACTATTATTAGTTAGTTTCTTGGGATTGGTTGTTAATTTGGTTGGTATATTGGCTTTTAATCATGGTCATGCACATCATGGTCATGGTCATAATCATGCACATCATGGCCATGTACATCACAATCATGCACATCATGGCCACGTCCATCATGGGCATAGTCATGAACATCACCACCATGAGCATAATAGTGATAATAGTAATAGTAATAATGGACATTCTAATCACAACCATCACATAAATTTACATAAACAACACCATAATCATAGTTATAGTCACAGTCATAATAATAATAATAATAATAATAATAATAATAATAATAATAATAATAATAATAATAATAATAATAATAATCACAGTCACCATAATCATAATTTTAATTTTAATCTCAACCATGGTCATAATCATCACCATAATCATGATCACGGAGACAATGCTAATATGCAAGGTTTGTATTCGTTTATTAAATAAAATGATTTAAATTAAATCATAATAATAATATTATTATTATCTCATTTTTTTGTTCATAATCATATCTCCTTTAGGAATTTATCTTCATATATTAGCTGACACACTTGGATCAATTGGAGTTATTATATCCACCTTATTAATACAACGGTTTGGTTGGACAGGTTTTGATCCATTGGCATCAATGTTGATAGCGGGTTTGATTTTCATGAGTGTCATCCCGTTAATAAAACATTCTGCATCAGTTCTAATGCTGTCCAACAACGAGAAACTTGAAAATCAAATAAATGAAGCGTTGGAGGAGGTGTTGAATATCGCTGGTATCATATCTTATACAATGCCGAGATTTTGGCCGAATGATGGCGAGTGTTTGATTGGTAGTATACATATTCAAATTGCAGAGAATAAAAGTATTAATAAAGATAGTAATAACAAAACAGATGGAAATGATATTGTTGAAGAAGAACGAAATGTTATCATCAACACAATTACCGAAATATTAAAGTCTCGTATACGTGGATTGGAAGAGTTAACTATACAAGTTGAGAAAGTTGATGATGGTGGTGGTGGTGGGTTTGTGGGTTGTTTATGCAATGATTCAAGGAATTTTAATTTTATTGGCGGTGGTGGTGGCAGATTGAATGATTTGAAGATTGAATGATTTGAATATTAAAGGTGATGGTATTGGTGGTTGTGGTAGTAGTAAAGAAAAATTATTGATTTTTTATTATCATAATAGAAAGAAAAATATTATAATGAATATGTTGTTCTATTTGTATTATCAAAATGGGACCTCGGAAATTACATATATACATTGCCCTTTTTTGAGGGTAAATCAATATGTAATAAACATAAACCCAAATTTAATAAACATTTGACTAGTTTATTTTCAGTGCCGAACCAAACTCGGAAATGATGCTCCGTTGGTTACAGAACAGTTGGTTGGTTAGTCGTGTAAAAAAAAATTAGAGTCGGCTGATATCACCTGACTATTAAATTTGGGGTTCCTTTGTAATTTTTTTATGGCTCAGCTGATATTAATATGATATTTTTCAAACCCGATGACAAACTTCATTGTATTCTGCTATTATTACATGCATGCATGCATACGTGACGATTATGCTCTCCAGATTATCATAATCGAGATAACGTCTGTGTGACATTTTGCCATTCTGGATCCATTTCAAAAGTTACTGCCATAAGAGTTTGCCAGAATGTCTAGCTCCCTGTTGTCTACAACTAATGTTGCTATTTGATAATTATTTTTTAACTTTTGTATATCGCATGTAAGATTCAAAAGTAGGTAAAGAAATTCATTTTATTGCCTTGTTACATGGCCTTTATTTCAAGTTCTAGCCGATGGATTTATAAATCTCTGTGTCAAAAGATTATTCTCTTTAAAAGAAGCATTTTTTACTATTGATGTTTGGGTACAAATTTTGCAAAAATAGTGGAAGTTACAAGCTTTTACATTAAAGATTCTGGACAAGGGATATCTTTAAATGGATTTTCTACATATTAATATTGAGGAATTTTTGTGGACAAATATCTTTTTCTATGGATTGGCCACCCTTATTAGAATTATTACTCTTTAAAAGTTTAAAAGGAATTTTGGATCACCAGACTTTTTAGAAAAATAACTTTCCCAATATCATCACTACTACTACATTTGGCAATTATCTTTGAATAACGAGCTAAAGTTGTACCATCTCCAATCCATGTCATTTTTATATCTAAGAGGCTTATTATTGTTGAATCATTTATAGCTTCTTCAACATGATCAACAATCTGTATACTTTTTTGGTTGATCCAAAAATCATCAGGAATCATAAAATTTATATAGATATTTTCATACCAACCTAATGTCATTAACCATGACAAAGCCAGAGTGATAAGTTATTTTTATTCTATCCTGAACAATTACCACATGTCACGCATATGAATCTTTTTCACCACCATGATGAATCTTTTGAACAAAATCAAAAACCATATTCAAAGTTGTATTACTCCTTTTGATATTCCTTCTGGTAATTATCTTTTCCTATTGTATAAAATTTTTAAAGCCTATGTTTTCAAAACAATTTTGTGAACGTTGACAATTATATAGAAACAATAAAAATAGTGTATGTAGATCATTTTAAGAAAGTATCTAGGGCACAATTCCCCATTTTTTTATTAGCAAACAGGGTCTAATATCTTCACCTAAAATTTTAGACTTGCTGATAAAATAGCCTGTGCCAATTAATGACTGCATTAGTAAATAAGTCTTTGATTATGATTGTAATTATGAATATTGATATTCTAGTAACAATATAAGAGCAGGAACCCTTATTTAACAAATTTAACAACTCAAAATCAATAATTAATCCATAAAAGGTTTCACTCGTTATGGTGATTTTGACATCATAAGAATTCCATGTAATCAAAACGGAAATAGTGACTTCCTGTTTCGTATACAAAGAATACTCGCTTTCGGCCTATCTGTTCATAATATATCTTTCTCTCCAACTTTATAATGTATATATTACACTTTATTAATTAATGCATCATGTACTATTACTACTACAGCATTGTAATAGGCTTCCCCAAACCAGAAAATGAATTCAACATTAGTGATAGGCAAATTGCTAATCATTTTTGAATTTAATAATGCTTGCTGTTACTATCGATTTTTAGTTTATAAGTGTTATGGTAATTACCCCGAATTCTTTTTTATCATGGTAATAACCCATTACCACTATTATTATGCAATTTTTTATAAGTGATTAGAAATCATACTCGATTTAACTAATAAAATTCACGCCATTTTAAAAGTTGCAAAACGCCGAAATTTCTATATTTTTTTCAGTTACAAAAAAAAAAAAGCCATAACCCCTTTTCTAGACACTAACACAGGGACGATGATTTTATGCGGCGATGAACTATCAATTATGCATGCAAGTAAATTATGTACAAAATTTTTTAATTTTCATGAGCTTCACTTTTGCGATGATTTTCAACGACTTCACTCAATAGAAGTATCCCATATAAAATTTCCTTTTTTTTTATAATGATGTTGATCATGTGATAATATGCAATATTATGCAAAATCATCGTCCTGTACTAACACTAACACAATACTAGATGAAATTATAATGGTAACAATGATTATCCATCAAATGATACAAGAGGGTGTCAAAATTTAAAACCCTTATAATTCGGGCTAGAGAACAGAAAAACAAAAAAATAATCCAAATTATGTAATACGAAATTAATAATCATTCATTTCTTTATTGAGTACGTTTTGAAATCTTCAAATCTTTGAGACCCAAAATTATTATTATTATTATACCATTTTTGGTAAGCCGTTATTTTTGTTATCCACATGATTGATTACAAATTTCATTATTATAAAGCAAATCTCATTCACACGTTTGTTTAAAAAAGCCCCATTTGCAAAAAGAAAGATCTTTTACTACTACTACTAAGCATTATTATCATCACATATATTTATTCATTTAATAATTATCAATTTAACTAAAAAAAAGAAATTCTCCTTATAGAAAACAAGGCAGTTCGAAATAAGAATGAACATGATCCAAGCAAACTACTGCCTGGGATACAACAGCTTGTTGGCAAAGAAGTTGTTTTTTTACTCTTCTATTTGAAATTATGATCAAGAACCACGTAATGGATATTCCCAAAACTTGTATCACAAAAATATTATTTATTTTTTTATTTATTTATTAACGTTAAGAATCGATAAAGAAAAGAAAAAAAGTAATAGTACCTGTGTAAGTATTATCAGAGTGTGAGAGCTTAGTTTTCCTTATGAAATTACTATTTTTGGGAAAGAAATTATTATTTTTCATATGGTTAATTTTCAAGAATGTACAAACGATTTTTTATTATATGATGACCAACATCCTTTTAACTTATTACAGATAACCTAGCCGTGTGTTAGTATCTCATTAAGCGGCAACAGAAGAAAAGAAAACGACGACGAAGAAAATGAAGACAAGGCTACCGTGCGTGTATTGATATAGTTACAAGTCTGGATTCGAGTGAAGTTTGAATTCCGGGGCGTTATAGATCTCTGGTTACATGTAAACTCCATAGGTCATGTGTCAATGAGACAACAGATATTGTGGACATACTTGGCATATGAACCTATAGGTTGTTCGTGTCTTAAATGAATAGCAATGTTAATCAATTCATGGTAGATAGTAGAATTGTGTTGACTCTATATCATGCGATATCAATATGGGTGTAAGTCTAGTTTGATTCAAAGAAATTTGAGTATAGGCGATCTGATATTAAAATATTGGATGGGTATGCACGTACTCGACAAGTAAACCTGTACGATTATATATGGTTTGCTATGTTTAAATGAGCAATGATATTGATGCACGATAAATTAATTTTGACGACGCAGAATGATGACAACAGTATATATAATAAATTTATCAATGATGATAAAATTATTCTGTAATATTTAATAATTATCATACTTGGCTCTTCAGGAAAATGGTTGGTTCCACAGGAGAGCTTTTCAACAGAGCTCTCTTTATACATAAGTACATCGTCGGGATTTTTGTGAATGTTGGTATTGAGTGATTTAATATATATATATATATATAATAAACACATGTTATATAATTAAGTGTTCTTTTTCTACATATGAAACCTAATAGGATTGTAATATATATTTGCGAACCTCCAGACCTGATAAGTTTTCTGAACTTACAGACACATTGATCCTATTCATTCAACCTTTACACCTAAAATTCCTACTTTTATATTACTTATTTCTTTGGTGCAATTTGAACTTAACCAAGACTTGCATTATAAATTCAACACCATTTTTGCATACTTCAAATTTCTTAAACCTAAGGTTTTTGATTTATAATTATTTGAAATGCACAATTGCATTAATTAAAGATTTTGTTGTTTTTTGTGCACACTACTTAGAAATATATATAGATTATTCACTCTTATATATATGTGTGTACTTGAAACTCGGAAATAAGTAATTGTGAAATTAATTATTACATACAATCAATCTATCTTTAAAACTTACAAGATGTGCGTAGAAAACTTATAAAATAAAGATAAACACGCGACAAGTAAACTTATTTTAAATCAATCCTCAGTCATGTCATCACGACAAAAAAAGAAACGTAAAAGTATATATAGATTGGCAAAGACAAGAAAATATTTATAAACAATGGGAAACGTTTCTACATAGTCAATTTGTGCGATACTTTTTGTCCAAATTAACATATATGAATGATTATAAATAGAATCCCTACAGTGGACATGAGTTACAATTAAGAAATATATATTGTGAATAATAAATCAAAGAGGTTGGATGTTAATCCACTTCAAAATAAAGAAAGTTTACGCACACAGAGAATCTGATAGAAAAATTGTACAAAAAATTTGCATTAAACTTACCAAAAGGTTACAAAGTAAAAAGTGACGATTTTGTTACTATTAGACCTGAACATGTTATGACTCATGACAATACGGTTTCAGTGATCATAAAGTAAGAATTGTAAGGAAATAATTAATCTTCCAATTATATAAATTATTATTAGTCGCTGATTTAGATTTAGAATTCCTATGTTTGGCACGGTCTAAAGACCTATTATTGCTGTGCCACGTGGCCAAATTTCATTCATTCTAAGATTTTTAAAGGAATTTCCAAAAATGAACTTCGCGATTTTTTGGTCTAATAAACTGCAAATTTTAGAAATGATTGTTGAATATTGGTCTAAATTTAGTAATGATCCTAGCGCAAATTACTCGTAAAATACATATACTATTACTATGATTAATTTTTAAAAAATTACCATTCCACTCGCTTCATAAAGTAAGAATTGTAAGGAAATAATTAATCTTCCAATTATATAAATTATTATTAGTCGCTGATTTAGATTTAGAATTCCTATGTTTGGCACGGTCTAAAGACCTATTATTGCTGTGCCACGTGGCCAAATTTCATTCATTCTAAGATTTTTAAAGGAATTTCCAAAAATGAACTTCGCGATTTTTTGGTCTAATAAACTGCAAATTTTAGAAATGATTGTTGAATATTGGTCTAAATTTAGTAATGATCCTAGCGCAAATTACTCGTAAAATACATATACTATTACTATGATTATGGTGTTGTTTATGTAAATTTATGTGATGGTTGTGATTAGAATGTCCATTATTACTATTACTATTATCACTATTATGCTCATGGTGGTGATGTTCATGACTATGCCCATGATGGACGTGGCCATGATGTGCATGATTGTGATGTACATGGCCATGATGTGCATGATTATGACCATGACCATGATGTGCATGACCATGATTAAAAGCCAATATACCAACCAAATTAACAACCAATCCCAAGAAACTAACTAATAATAGTCTATCCGTATTCATCTCTGGTGGATTTATTAATCTACCTATTGCCTCAAACATTATAAATATGGATATGAAAACAAGAAAGATCCCATTTGCAAATCCTGAAAGTGTTTCTATACGTCCATAACTTATATTTATTTATATAAGAAAAAAACGAAAGAATTAAAATTTAATTATTATTTTTTTTCAATATAAAATCAATTATTTTAATGATTTTACCCGTATGTAAATTTATTATTTTCAGGCCATTTGCTCATTATAGCCGCTAGTAATCCTACCGCTAAAGCCAAACAATCAAAGAACATGTGAATAGCTAAAATTTTTTAAAAAAATAAAAATATATGTAAATAAAGATAAATAAAATTCATTCGTAAAAAATATCAATTAATCAATTATTTTTTCCAATATCTTTTTTTAAACATACCACATCCTTACCATCCGAAATCAAACCCAAACTATTTGTCCAAAATCCATAAACCATTTGAACAAACATATAACTTAAATTTAGTAATAGAAAATAAAATATTTGTCGTGAATCACTATTATCTAATAATGCTCTAATATAATTATTAAACAGCGTTATAAAAAGTCCTCCTGATTCTCCTCTTAAATGATGAATGTTTGAATTATTGTTCATGATATTATTATTGTCGTTGTTATTATAAATTGGAAGTTCAAAAGATTTAAAATTTACTCTAGTTTGCGATGGAAAAAGTGTTTTTGTGGTGGAATAATTTTCAACATGCATTGCTATTCTATTCCATAAAGATATCTGATTTAAAAATTTTTAAAAAATACAGAATTTTTTGACATATAAATAAATATATATGCAAGATCACGTGGTTGAAATTGCATTAATCTCTTGCAAGGTTAGATTGATTTTTGAAATAAATGGCTACGTTTGATATTGATATATATATAAAACCAAGAAATAAAACTCAAAATTTATTTTGTTTATTTTCCATTAATTAATTAAATAAAATTTTTTTATTTATTTTTATCCAATACACCAAACGCTTCTTCAATTCCACATTTCTCTCGTGGTTTATCTTTTTTTCTTCCCTCTTCGATTTCCTTCTCTTCAATTTTTTTCCAATCATTATAGGAAACAACACGTACGCCGCGTTCTTTAAGAATGGGCAATATGGCATTTATGCCAGGTTTAGGTGATGATGAAGAATTATCATCTAGATGAGATAATGATCCTGATAACATTGGTTTATTCTGTTGTATATCAGATATTATTGTTTCAGCTGTTTCAAATGCATCATACATTGTTGTAGCTATAACTCCTTGTGGACCTCGTTTTAGCCATCCTGATACATAGAGACCTGGTAACTATAATTTGTAGTTTTAACATTATTTCTTCTTTATAAAAGAAACCATTTATTAATATTAAACTACCTCATTATTGCTTTCCAACTCTATTATTTTTCCTTTGTCATTAGGAACAATTCCTTTTTTCTCATCAAAAGGTAAACCATGCACTGGCACACTTTTATAGCCGACACTTTTCAATAACAAACCACACTCTAAAACATCTGATTCTTTAGTTGAAATTGCCACGCGTTTCTCAGCTGGACCCTCAAGTCGATTAACGCTAAACTTTACAGCTTTAATATACCTAATATCATAATTACTATTACTTGCTTCAGCACCAGTATTGACATTATTGTTAGTGAATATTAATTCTAACGGACTTCTCAGGTATTTAAGCGTCCAGGATTTTTCACCGGATGTATCCATCGTTACTCCTTTCTCTAAAATTTGTAATATTCTCTTGAGCGTACGATCTTTAGCGATTAATTGCTCGTTTTCTTTTATTTCTGATCTAAGTAATTCAACATCTATGTGAAAACGTGTATTGGGCAAATTTATCATTTCGCGTAGTTCTTTTGCTGTAAATGACATCTAATAAATAATAACAACATTATTATTATAATAATTATTACTTATAAGCAAAAAAAAATTGGCAGCCAAATTTTCAATAATTAATTTACTTGTAAAGGGCCTCTACGACCAACAAGAACCACATGTTTAATTTCGCTTTTTTTCAAAGCTTCCAAAGCATACTCTGTAATATCAGTCTTACTCAATTTATCAATATCCATCAATAAGATCCTCGCGACATCTAACGCTACATTACCATGACCAATAACCAACACAGTATCCGATCTTGACAAATCAGGATTCAGATGACGATATTGTGGCAAGCCATTATACCAACCAACAAAAGCTCTAGCCGAAAATACATTTTTTATCGGGTTACTATTGTCATTATCATTATCATTATCATTTTTTATTCCAAGTGATTTTTCCTTGCCGGCCCCGTACGAAAAAACGATTGCGTCATAGGTTTGTTTTAGATCGTCGATCGTGAGATCATGACCGAATTTTACATTTCCTATGAATTGATATCTTGAATCATTTGCAACTTCGTCAAATCTGTGTTGAACATTCTATGAATTATAGGTGTTACTTAAAAATGGATTTATATATTATATACAGTCAAACATTGTCACAGCAGACCTCGCCACAGCGAACTATAATTAAACTTCTTGTTATAATGGAAGTTTTGCTTCACATATAAAAACTAGATTAGCAATTTTGCCATAACGGATTTTAAACTCATGTGTCTCGTTCATCCGCTGTGACAAGGTTTAATTGTATTGTTTATATTTGTTTTATTGTGAACAAAAAAAGTAATAATAATCAAGTTTTTAGGATTGATTGATAAGTAAATGTGTACCTTGACATCTTGGTGATCAGGAGCAACACCATATCTAACCAGACCAAAAGGCATAGGGAGAGCTTCATACATGTCTATCATCATCAATGGTTGATGATGATATTTTTCTTTTAGTAAACGATAAGCTGTATAAAAACCGGCTGGGCCACTTCCAATTATTGCCAAGCGAAAAGGCTTGGTCACATTGGAAGTTGTTGTCGAAGTTGTTGCTGAAGTTGTTAAAGTTGATGATAACAGGTTTTTGCTTATTCTTTTGGTAATAATAACATTGTCCTTATTATTGATAGTAACATGATAAAGGTTACGTAGTAGTTTCATTTTGTTTTTGTTGACAAATTTATAAAAAAATTATTTTAATGGGATGAATGAAAAAATCTAAAAATTTTTGGTGGACCATGTGACAAAGTGGGCGATAAAGTGAGTGACAAAGTGACAAAAACTAAAAAAGAAAGATTTTCAAATTCAGATGATTGTATTAACAATTTATAAATGATCATCCAAAATTTTTTAAAAACTTGGTTTATGGTGTGTTACTTGCTTTTTTATTAATTAATTTAATTAATTAATTTGTAAATTATAAAATAAAAAAAAAATCATTTATTTATTTTTCTTGTAATTGTTTCCCAAGAAAGCAATAAAGTTAAGCATATATACATAAATTTGTTTGTAATTATAAAAATAAATAAATAACAAATTTTCACCTATATATAAATATATGCTGCTGATTTTATTATATAATCACAAAAAAAACTTTTTTATTAAAAAAAAAAAAATTGAAAAAAAAAAATAATAAATAATAAATAATTTTTAAAAAAAAAATCAAAAAAAAAAATATGGCAGAAATGTACGAAGAGCCTCAACTCACATCTTTCGTAGAAAGACCGGACTACGGTGAGATAGGAAGAAGTATACAAGTCCGAACAAACTTTTTTAGGATTCTTGACTTGCCTGAGGCAAACTTTACCCATTATGATGTTACAATAACTCCCGATGTGCCACCTCCAATCAACCGAAAAGTTGTTGGAACCTTCGAAGCACAACACAGAAATGATGTATTAGGTGGAATGCGGCTTATTTTTGATGGTAATGTTTTGATATCATAAAGAAAAAATCAATTATTAAATTAAACGTGATTTTATCTTTTTTGATTAAAAAATATATTGATGCTTGAAAATTTTCTTATAATTAATATTGATAATATAATTTTTCAAGGTCGTAAAAATATTTTTACGTCGAGGCCCATGCTTTTAACAGAAGGTGATGCTGGAACATACGAGGTAATAATAAATTAGAATCAGAATTAGAAATTAAAATTTTAAATTGATCAATTTTACAATTTATAAATTTCATTCATCTATACTCACACACGTATGAATCAATTTAGATAATACTTCCAGAAGACGACGGAATTGTTAATCCTAGACGTATTCCTAGGAAATTTACAATTAAAATAAGAAAGGTCGGTATGATAGATTACCGAGATTTGATGCGGCATGCCGAAGGAAAGCGTGCTTTCATAAATAACGTATTAAAAGGTAAAATGATTTGTTATTATCATCATCAGTATCATCAATATAATACTAAATCCATATTTGTTCTTTATAATTATATTGATTAGCGTTGATGGCCATTGATATTCTCATTCGACAAGAGCCATCAATGAATTATGTAACAGTCAGAAGATCATTTTATACAACAAATGATACTGGCCATTTGTTTGGAGGGTTGGAAGCCCGAAGAGGGTATTATCAATCAGCGAAATGCGGACAAAGTATATTATTCTAATCAAATCTTACATAATTTATTTTGTTAAATTACTGCTAATAAATTGACATATTCTTTCCATACTCCAAAAAAACAATTATAATAGAACAACTATATATCAATATCGACATAACTGCAACCGCTTTTTATGAATCGTGCTCCTTAATAATGTCGATTGCTAAGATCTTAGGACGTAGAGGTCCTGAAGATCTTAGAGGAGGGATGACTGATTACGATCATCAAAGGCTCGAAAGAGCAATTAAAGGATTAAAAATACGCGTCGTTCATCGCGGCGAGACGCAAAAAAAAAGAAAATATAGAATAAGAGGGATTACACCCACTCCAGCCGATAGAACGTACTTTCAGTCCGAAGGACAACAAGAAAGGAGTGTTGCAGAGTATTTTGCCACTACGTATCATCGTCGGTTGAATTTTCCGTTTTTGCCATGTGTAGTGGTGAACAGTAATAACACATTCCTCCCAATGGAAGTCTGTGAGATTGTGGAGGTAAATAATTAAAATAATTAAACAAATTATTAAAAGAATAAATTATTATTATTGATATTGATTTAAAAAAATTTTTTTTTAAAAAGGACCAAAGGTACACAAGAAAATTAAACGATAAACAAACAGCCGATATGATAAAATTTACATGCGTTCAGCCGCATGCTCGAGCAAATAAAATTCTGGAAGGGTTTAATATACTAAATTACCGTGACAATCAATACCTGAGGCAGTTTGGACTTAGGGTGAGCGGGGAAATGGAGATAGTATGTATTTTTATTTTTATTCTGAAAAATCATTACTATTATTCTCGCTTATTTATTACTCGTATTATACTATTAAAGGTTCCAGCCAGAGTATTGCCAACTCCTACGATACAATACCATCCTTCTTCACGTGAGGCTAAATTCCGACCAATTAATGGTGTTTGGAATTTAAGGGATAAAAAGGTAGCAACTGGAACAACTTTAGGCTCCTGGTCTGTAGTTGTTTTTTCATCAGAAAGGGATTATCCGCTACCATCAGTAAAACACTTTATAAGGGAGTTAGTCACAACATGTCAAAATACTGGGATGGTAAACATGAATTATTTTATTAATAAAAGTAATTCATTTTAATTTGTTTATTTATTATTTATTTATATTTATTTTTTGATTTTTTTAGAAAGTTCCCAATGTAAATCCACCCGTAATACATGCAAATCCTCTAGGGGATAATGAAGGAACCCTAAAGCAAGCCTGGCTTCTTGCTGGTAATCATGCAAAAGCACAGCCACAGTTGATATTATGTATACTACCCAACACGGGTGTTGACCTATACGCTCAAATAAAACGGGTATCTGATACTGTAATTGGCGTAGTGACGCAATGCGTCCAAGGACGTAATATAATGTCTGCAAAAAAACAATATTGTGCGAACGTTTGTTTAAAAATAAACGTTAAGCTTGGCGGGATGAATTCTTTTCTGCTACCAGAAGAAATTCCATTTATAACTGATGTGCCTACAATTTTGATGGGTGCCGATGTTACTCATCCAGGACCAGGTAATAATCATTACTATATTAATGAAAATTAATATTATTATAATAGTGGTTATTATTACCACCATCATTAATTATATCATCAACATTATCATCATCATCATTTTCATCTAATAATTATCGTTTAATTAGGATCCACAAATAAACCGTCGATAGCTGCACTGTGTGCATCTATGGATGCCAAGGCATCACGATATGCTGCATCCATACGAATACAAAGCGGTAGAACCGATATTATAGCGGACTTGTCAAATATGGTAAAAGAGCTCCTAAAAACCTTTTACCAAACTTGTGGAAGAAAACCGGATAGAATTTTATTTTATCGCGACGGTATTTCTTATGAACAGTTCAAGAAAGTGTTGGACGAAGAAATAAATTCAGTCAGAGGTAAATTATATAAATGTAAAATATATAAACGTATCTTCGTAAATGTATTTATTAATAATAATTATTATTTTTAATATTAGTTGCGTGTCAAGCGCTTCAAGCTGATTATGCTCCAAAGATAACATTTATCGTGGTGCAGAAAAGGCACCATGCAAGATTTTTTTCTATGGATAGGCGAGACGCAGATAATACCGGCAATTGTTTGCCTGGTACTGTCATTGAACGTGGAATCACGCACCCTATCGAATTTGATTTTTGTAAGTTGTAATTTGGCATCTACAATATATTTTGTAACTACAACATGTTTTTCGAATATACTAATATATTATGCTATATAGATTTACAAAGCCAGGCGGGTTTACAGGGAACCTCGCGACCAACACATTATCACGTTTTATACAATGAGAATAACCTTCGTGCGGACCAGTAAGTTGTAATAATATCATCAAATTTTTAATAGATAATTAATAATAAAAATAACTTTTTGATTATATGAATATGAATTTGTACATTTATAGAATACAAACTTTATCGTACAATTTATGCTACTTGTACGCAAGGTGTACGAGATCTGTTTCCCTGGTATGATGATTAATGTCATCACTTATTAATATATCTTTAAATAAACGTGTTAAAACAATGATAACGATGATATTATTGTTGTTGTTATGATTAGGTTCCTCCTGTATATTACGCGCATTTGGTATGCAATAGGGCGCGTTTTCATTCACGGGAACATTGGAGCGACACAGAGTCTTCCGAGAGCGCTGGGAGTGCGTCTACATTTAGTGTCGTAAAACCTGAATTACAAAAGGTAATTAGTTATATATATTTTGTTTTTTTATTTATGGTTTGGAAATTGGGAATCTAAATAATTTTTTATTAATCTTTTTACCAGGTTATGTACTTTATGTAAAGGTTGAAATGTGAAAAAAAAAAAAAAAGCTTTTAATACCATAGAATTAATTAGAGTGTTTATATTTTATATACTAATTTACTAAATTTTTTTTATATATTAATTTTAAATACATTAACATTAATATTATGCATTTTGCTTGATTTTTATTTTATAAATATATGTAAAAAGTATTGCTTAGTTTAAAAATAATATAACAATTATATTAAATGTTTATAATAATTACTTTACAAAAACATTCATTCTCTTGTTAATTATCATTGTTAACCATTTTTTATACATTACTATTTTTACGAAATAAACAATTTGTAAAATAGCAACCAACTTTTGATTTCATGTGTTAGTGTACAACAACATAAAAGATATATTATTGAAGATAGCTAATAAAACAAAACACATCAGGAAATTAATTTAGCGTAAACTTGCATAAATCTTACGATGCCGACGTAATATTGTGTAAATCTTACAGTGCCGACGTAAGTTTTACACTTTTTTATTATTAAACTTACAATTGACACGTGTAAAATTTTTTTATATTTTCCGGATGATGATATACAGATAGATTTCGATCCCAATTGTTGTTAAGCACCCGAAAAGTTATTTTATAATATGCAAGCCTTTCAGATTTATCCAAGAATTTTATACCAAGAGTCCCGGCTATTCCAAAAGGTTCATATTGATAGAATATGGATGCTAATGCTCTAGATACCGCTTTATCAGTATTCCTTTGTCCAAGGATGCCGCTCAAGTTTTCCGGGATTTTTTATTTAGTTTACGTTATCACAGATCAAACCGAACACCAAATACATGCCATTCGCTTGATATGCATATTATTCAATATTAATATATACGTGTTTTTGAATCAATTCGATTAATTCACGTGTAATTTTTAATACATTTTTTATTTTCAAAATACCATTCTTAATGTTAAATGTGATGCATTTCTTGTAATGTCAAAGAGGTTACCATAAGCGAAGGTATCATCTTTAATGTCAATATTATCCATTACTACCAAACTCTAAATATTAGGTCCAATTTTGAGCTTCAATGCTGGTACAATTTTCGGAATGCGATTATTCTTATTCTTGTTTTTACTATTGCACGTAGACAACTAATGCACAAAAATGTAGCAAGCTTTATAATAAAATTATTTAATTCAAGTATAAGATACATTATTACATAATTTTCATGATAAGTCGTATGAATTTGCAAAGTTTTCACATTTATTGGATTGTTGAGTGTATATTAATAATAATGTTTATGATAGCAGTATGATAGCGAAATTGACGATGATAATGAAAATCAAATCTACATTTGAAATAAATAAATGATTTAAAGCGCGTAAGGCTCTGAATTGAATCGCGTATGGATACATATCGCATATACTACTAATTACTTATAACCGAATCGACACAAACAGTAGTTTGATAATTCTTAATCTATTTGTAAAAAGAACTTGTTAGGCTTCTGAAAAATCGCTTGAAAAAAATATTTCGTAAAACCTCGACCATAAAATGTTCAAGTAGACGTGACTTTCAAAATTGCTCTACGGGTATGGAATAACTTAATATCAATACGCGTGCTTCAAACCTGGGCAAAAGATTTTGTTTGAACCCCCTAATAGAACATTTACATCAACGTCAAATTAAAATATTAGAACATCAAAAACGCGCCTTGCCTCTTATAATAAACAATTTGTTGGAATCGCCTTTTTTACACAAAAAAATTTGTCATATGTAACATTTTAAAAAATGAATGTCAAACAAATCTTTGAATTCTAACAGTTCAAGTAAAAATTTGTTTCATGGGCAAAAACAACTCGAACATTTATGTTACAAACTTGGGTGGGAATGTTAACGATCTGTCTTTAAATAACATGCCAAGTTTTTCTCGGTCTAGAAAAGGGACCGTGACCTTGAATTGATTCTAGACCGAAAGTGCACATTATGTGGCTCGATTTGTTCATAAAGGTAAACTTCGTCCCTAGACCGAAATGACCAGATTGTCAACTCTGCCCATATATTTACTTACCCCCTAGTACTAAATAAAGTTAAATGAAGATAGCATAAAATTAACAAGTTGGTTAGTATACTTTAAAAATTAAAGTTAAAAGAATTTCTACTTTTATCAATCAATAAAAGATCAAATGGTATTAACATCTAAGTTAATATCTATTTAGATGTCTAGGTTTGTCAATTTATTTAACTAAAAACAAAAACAACAAAAAACCATTTTCTCGTATATGTAATTATATAATAAATATACTAATGCTAATACTAATGTTCGTATTATTTCCATATATGAACTTTTTTCAATGGTAGAGAGTAGGTAGTTCAGGCAGAATGTTAAATGTTTTTTTTGTATGAAACCGAAATTCCATAGTAATAGTAATAGTAATAGTAAATGCAGAAGATTGAATTTAATTTTGCATGAAATTCTTTATTTTTAAGGAAGTCGGGCGATTCTTTATTTTTAAGGAAGTCGGGCGATTTTTTTTTCTTATGATTTCAATTTACTTTGAAGCAAAGTTATTGATAATTAGATTTACAAAGAAAACCTTATTTCCGCAAAGAAATCAATTAACTTCATAAAAGCACAATAGCTCTAGACCACATCCTTTCTTTAAAGGAGCACCAATCCCACTCACTGCAGTATTTTTATCTGATGCTATCGTTCCTAGATGAACCGATAGTTTTACTGTTTTCGGAACACCAACGGAATGTCTTTATAGCTTCCGAACTTGTGATTGTATTTTTACTACGAAAATATGTTCTGAAAGTTTTTGTGATATGCCAACTAGAATCACATTTACTGAAACAGCGAAAGTTCCGATAGTAAATCATACGATATCAGAGTTGCTGTTGTGAATTAGTTACTACTGATGCTTGCATATTGGCTCTTGTTGATGCTGTATCTGCTGCGAATTAGTGTTGGTTTCCAAAACTCGAGAGTTTCGCAACAGTGCGAAAGTCAAAAGGTTTCGCCATAAGTCGAAACTAGTTTTGATGTTTGACTATTGACTTTTGATTTAGTTTTGACATATAACTTTTAATTTTAGTTTTGACTTTCACCTCTTCAAAATAGTTTTGGCGACCAACACTACTGCGAATACAGCCTAATTCAGCAATAATTTAATGATCTAGTATAAATGTGCTTGAGAGGCTCAAAAGATCAATATAAATTATATATCAGTAAATGTTGCAGATTAGGATTATAAATCCCAGTTAGTCAAAAATCATCATGTACTACCAGAGTGGTAATTTAGGTCTTGCAATGAAAGTGCAAGACCTGATTCTCAAACAATACTCCCTAAGCTTCACATTGAATTAGCATACAGATATATGTATGGATGTTAAAGAAGTTCACAATATTATTGAATTTTGGTCTAGCTCATTTAGTGACAAATTATCAAATGGTCTCTTGATAATAAATATTATAAAATATTTAAAACAACAAATTGATGAATTAGAAAAATATTTGATGAAACGGACAAAATATATTTTGTTACTTCAATAATTACTACAACAATTCATCCAAATGCCATTTATACTAGCAGATTATTAAAATTTACAAATATTCCTCAACCTGCAAATTCTAATAAAGTAACTATTAAGGCAATTATAATGGTAATTATTAACATTATTTATGAAATATTTAAATAATTTAAAAAACTTAATGTTATAATCGTTAATATAAATATTCTTTCCAGGTCAAATTAATTGTACCAGATGAAATACCTAATTAAATATATATTCAACCTTTTCTTCAAAAGAGTTAATTTCATGATTATGCATTAGTTCTCAAGGATGAAATTGTGAATCTTTGTAACATTGTTTTGATCTGATCATTATACTCCGTACATAGGCCAATCTCATGTCCAAGGCTTCTCATATATCGTTTAATAGTTGTTGCTTGATAAATTTTACCATCTGCATAAGAAATAATAACTGAATCTCTCACGTTCAATTTTTGATTTATAACTTTGTTGTAAGGGACTATAAATTGATAATCAAAATAGATCAAAATTACTTTAGCAATGGTTTCTGGAACCAATTATACATTCCTCAAAGTGCACAAATTGTCTTTATATTTTTTAAGAACTTAACATATAATATTATAATCTGTGATTTTGGTGATATAAATGCATTATGAAATTCCCCAAGAGCTAATCACTTTTCTGTTGTGCATTGTTTTTTTTTTTGGAAAATAGGAATACAAGAAAAAGAATCGGATTTGTAAATTATAATTGGTTCTTCTAAAAACTCTTTCCCTGCAGTTCAATCCAATTGATTCCCATAACATAATTCCAGATACAGACAACCCATCTTGATAATAGGCAGGCATCTGAGTGGCTATATTCTAAATTGATTACTGCTTTTTTGTCCACTTACTGTATATTTCATTTCACAAATATATATTCTCCAGTGATTGGAACAATAATAACTTCATTCAAAAATTCATCAGAAATATTTTGAGAATAGTGTAATTTTTTTAATGCTATCTTCATAAATCTTCCATCAATATTTTTAGTTAGCTTTGTATATGGTGGGGAAACCATTTTCCTTATCTTTGCAGTAGCTTTTAATCATCGTAAGGAATCCATTGGAGATAATTAATATCTATAATCTGTTACTTTAAGTTGTGTGCTTTTTATTAACTTATGTGTCTAAATTTATTTGATGAGAGCTAAGGTCAATATTATACTTTAAAAGCGAAAATAATTAATAATATAAGTATTAAGCTAACAATTACCATTACTATTATCATTTACAGGTTATGGAGGATTTGTAAATTTCAATAATCTACTTGTATAAACTGCATTTGGATCCATAGATGCTGTAATTATTGAAATAAAAATTTGGGGTCGTAATCAAAAATCCAGGTCTTACTCCTTCATATATCTTTATTATTGTGTGCCAAACTGCTAAAATGTTATTGTCCCATTGATACCACAGACATCAGAACGCCGAATTATATATATCAGCAAAAGGTTGAGATATTCAATCTTCAGATGGTTTTTCATTGCTTTATCATATTTCTCTTTAGTTTCTTTGATCAAATTAACCTTTCATTTTGAATTAAATCAATTTTAAGCAAATTTGAGATTCTAATTTAGGGAATTGTTGAGATTTCAAATAAACCTAATTCTATTAACAAGCTAGAATTTTGGGAATGTTCTAATATTAATACTAAGTTCCGCTGTTGAAATTTGTGTAATCGGGATAATGAAAATATGTGTTTGTGTTGTTGTATTGAGTCATTATTTTTAAAGTAATGAAAAAATTATATATAATATATATTTACCATTTCATTAAGTTCTGAATTCAAATCAAATACATTTTCTTTATATTATCAAAGGCTTTGACAGCTTGCTTCTATTTTATTTAACCTTCATGTAAGCTCAACCAGTTTTTCTATTTATTGAATAAAATAATTAAATATTATATTTGCGAATCTCTTCCTTCAACTATTTGCAACTTGTTAGTGACAATGAATTGGACAGATCTAAATTTGTTTCTTCTCTTTCTTTTTCAAGTAGAAATTGTAATTACATCAACTGTGACACCAAATGCCTTGAATTCTTTCCTTCACCATCAAATCTGAAAAATCGGATTTCTTGTTAACATCAATAACTTAATTGTAATATTTTCTGCATCTTCATCTTTTAAATATTCTCCTTCCCCTTCATTTTGATATTGTTGATGACGGATCTGAAACAAATCTGGATGCCACATGGGTATAAATTTACAACATTCCTTGAGGATTCTCATATTTAGGATCAACAAACCATGTAAAATCTCCGGCTTCTTTTGCATCATCATTATTTTCATCTTCATCGATTAATTCATTTAATTCATTTTTTTCTGGGAAAAATCCTGGATATAATGATTTATCAATATGTTCAATTTCAACTTTCTCATCATTCCTTCTACATCTACCACCCCTATTTTTACACCTTCCCTTTTATTATTTTTTTCATCTTCATATAATACAGAAATTTGATGAATTTCTACTTGATATTATAAAGTTCTTTTAAACAATAATAATTGTTATTATTGATTGTATATTTTTATTTTTATTATTATTGTAATTATGATGATTATTATTATATTTAGGTAATTTTTTCGAAAATTTTTACCCGTGTAACTTCTTTTTTATCTGTTGTCTTCTAAAAAAATAAGAAAAATGACAGCACCTCAAAATCCAATCGCTAGAGCCATTTGGGATGGTGCCTTGCCAATTAAATTTTCTTTAGATACTGACGAGGCTGAAGCATTAGGCGTAGAAACGATTGAACCTTATTTTGTAAGTTTTTCAAACTTTCGGGTTTAGCAATCTTTCATTTTCATTCTCATCATTCATTCTCATCATTTAATTGTGATAGATAGAAGCACCTCGTTGTTCGTATTTCCCACTATTAACAAGTGTAATAAGAAAATACTTTCGTGATATGGCGATGAATTTTATTGTTGATGATGCAGAAATATGGTATGATGTTGATGGAACACCTTTGAAATGGTAAGTGTGTGTATGTGTGTATATATATATTGCCACTATTTACTTCTCTCGTCATCATCATCATCATCATCAACATCACCATAATTGATAATTAATAATAATGATGATGATGATAATTAATAAAAAGGCATTATCCAATTGGACTACTATTCGATTTACATACAGGATATAGACCAGATTCAAATAGTCCTCCGCCATTACCTTGGTCTGTAACTGTTCATTTTAAAGACTTTCCTGCAGATAAATTAATAAGAGCTCAGGCTATTGACGCTACTCAAGATTTTTTCATGTCTATGATTAAAGAAGTAGGGGTTTTTAAAATTTAAATAAATCAATTATTAATTGTTAATTATTAATCGATAATTCGAAAATAATATTAAATAATAATGTTGTTGTTGTTTCCAGGCAGATTTTCTTAGAAATGGCACAACAAAAAAAGTAATGAACTTATCAAAAAATGACCAAACACAGCTTTGGGATGGATTATGGTCTAGTATCCTTTTTATTTTATTTTTATACAATACAGAAATATTATATGAAATTATTATCTTTAACTACTATGACACCACCACCATACTCCTGATTTTCCACCTTTTATTAATGTAAAAAGAGGATTATGATAAATTTTGGAGCGTGAATTATCGTTTAGTGATTAATGATGGCCAAGTTCCAAGACATATTCCACTTCGAATATATTTACCTGATAATTGTCCAGTAATACAAGAAGCAATATCTCCTTTAAACGAAGATGGTATATTTGATAATAATAAAATTTTTTTTTTACTCAATTCACATATTATTATCTCCATGTCATTAATCAAAAATAACTTCAATTCACACATACATACATAAATATATAGGTCATCAACTTACGCTTGGAAATGTATTACACCATATCCTTCCGGACTTTTTTCCATCATCACAACCTTTATCAAATGAGAGTTCTTTTGCTGCACCTGTTATTCTGGTATAATCCCACAATTAGATATTCCGATAGTATGGGCTTCTCAAAATCTTTGTTATCCTGATAATTTCTTACATATTGTAGTTTTGTTAGGACTATAAAATTATATTACATCATACAATTATAATTGTTTAATATTAATAATGATTGCATTATTAATATTAATTACTAGAATACAATATTTTTTTGGTAATTAAAAATTTTTTTTAAAAAATAAAATTGTATAACTATATTTATTTATTTGCAAAAATAATAATTAATAACATGTATCACAATATTTTTATAGATTAAAGATTGTTTTAAGGATTTCTAATTCATCCACTTCTTTTAATAATTCATCATTTTCTTTAGCAGAAGGATTTTCTTCAATTTTTCTTTTTTTATAATTATTATTATCTTCATCTTCATTTACTTGTATTCTTTTCAATTTAATTTGTTCAACAATTTTTGATGCTCTGTTACGAATAAATTCTTCTCGTTCATCTTCAATTTTAATATATAAATTATAGTTTTTACGATTGTTATTATCATCATTGCCATTATTAGTGTGTTCATATAATCTACTAAGATTGTTTTTTAATTTAATTATTTGATTTTGAATATTTTGAAATGTATCTGTTACAGGAAAAACTATTTATTATGTTTTTATATTAGTACTTTATACTTGATATTTTTAATGATGATGATAATATCTTTTAAATGAAATACCATTATGATCTTTTTCCAACTTAGTAAAAAGTGTTGATCCTTTTAAACAATTATCAAAACAAACGGCATATGATTTGGTTTTTTCTAATTTTTTTTTTAATTTGTAATTTGCAAATTTTGCCTGATTATTAAAAATATATAAAAGTCAACAAATTTTTTCCCCTAATAACAATAGTAATAGTAATATTTAAATATCTATATTTACCATAACAATTTTACTCCTCATTTCTTTTAATTCTTTATCGATTTTATCTTCTTCACTTTGATCTATTGTAAAATCCAATCCCTATTTTATTTTTTTTACAAACAATAATATTTATATGATATTTTGCACAGACTATAAAATAAATACAACTCTTTGAAAATAAATATCAACCTTGTAGTGATTTAATGTTATTTGAACATTTTCACGTATAGCAAAAATATTGTCTAATGTATATCTTTCAAAAATTTCATAATTTCGATCGATCAAATTCTCAAGTAACGTTTCAACTTTATGCATTCCCTTTAACAAATTAGAAATAGGTAGGTGGTAATTTGTATATATATATATACACATATACATATTAATGTAATTTAATGAAAATTACAAAGTTTAAAAAAATGAACCTGTGCAGCTTCTTCCACTTGTCCTAATTCTTTTCCAACGAAAACTTCTATTCCAGTAAGAGCATCATAAAGTAAGAATTGTAAGGAAATAATTAATCTTCCAATTATATAAATTATTATTAGTCGCTGATTTAGATTTAGAATTCCTATGTTTGGCACGGTCTAAAGACCTATTATTGCTGTGCCACGTGGCCAAATTTCATTCATTCTAAGATTTTTAAAGGAATTTCCAAAAATGAACTTCGCGATTTTTTGGTCTAATAAACTGCAAATTTTAGAAATGATTGTTGAATATTGGTCTAAATTTAGTAATGATCCTAGCGCAAATTACTCGTAAAATACATATACTATTACTATGATTAATTTTTAAAAAATTACCATTCCACTCGCTAATTTCTTTAACAATCTTATCGAAGATAGTTCGCAATATGATTGACCGGCACTTCTATCTTACATTATTGCAACCTAATTATTGCATTACGACACGATTGTGACATTACAACATGATTACGACATTATACAACAATTATAAAATAAATGTCTAAATATATTTATGACATTATGACAACATTACAGCATGTCAAAGTCGTAATAGTTTGGGCTGCATGTATAATAATTATAAGATGTTAAGGCGACATGATAAAACAACACATTTTATTGTCTGTTTTGCAAAATAATTTTGTATCATGAACCACTACTTTTTTACATACTGTATATTATTTGGGGGGTTTTCTAGCGAAAACCGGGTATAAGTATAATAAATTTTTTTGAGTGATGATCTTTGCAAAATATGTTACACATGTTTTTGATATATAAAGCGAATATTTCAAGCCTTATATCTTGTTATTGTACTAAGTAAATAATGTCTAAAATTTTTACCAGTTATAATCCTTGTAGTATAGACATATATTATGCAGAAAACTCATTTTGGTCTGGAGGCCTTATACACGGTTTTTGCTAGAAAACCCCCATTTTATTTTTTAGTCAATTATTTGAAAAACTTCCAATTCATCATATTTATTACCATGTACTATATTGATATTATTGTAAGTAGAGCTCCGAAACGGGTCGGGTCATGATTTAATTGACCCGGGTTTGACCCGGGTCAACATCATGTTATAATTGTCTTTAAAAGTTCAAAATTA